GCAAGAACGATCACGACATGTCGCCGACACTACAACAACTGGTCTACGGTGATAACACCGCATTTTACTGCGAGTATTATTGTCTCTTTTTTCCTACTAACACAGAGGATCTATTCGACAGTCACATCTACTTGAGCACGATTCTCTGACATATCTTCTCTTTGGATTTGCTTCCGAAAATTCCCACATATCCCGTGCATGCCTTCACGTGGATGGTGCTTAGCTAAGAGTGCTCCATAAATCGAGTGAACCGGCCGGAGTTTGGGAGGTCTCTGGTAGTGTCACTCTGTTATAGCTCTCGGTGACTCTAGGTTTCCGCGCGCAAAGCTCTTTCTTAGGCATATACTATATAAGCAAGACCGTACTCAACTCACAGAACACAACGTCCTCAATACGTTCAGAGACATCAATATACACGAAAGATATACTATGCAATCGTGACCATACTCAACGCATAAGACAGGATACCGCGAAACGGCTGAACACTCATAAAACTATATCATATGCATCCTTGCACATGTTGGGATCGACATGTGACCGATGGGCGGAGAAGAGACATATAGTCGCGTGCTGGCTTGGTTATGATTGTCAACTTGACAATAGCAGGGCTCACCCGACCCTAGTCACACAACCTCAAAATCGAGTAATCAAGTCACATATGAGTTGTAAAAATAAGTAATCGAGTGGCTTGGGAGGTCTCACAGCCATTCTTAGAGTCTCTAGGGACTGAGAGACAAGTTATAGCACTAGCTGGACATACAGAGGGAATACCACATCAGCCTAATTAGTTTCCTCAGTGCTACCGACCGTGTGTTTGGTTGGTTGGTTCCATCCCACTAGTACTCATACACAGGGTAAGTTGGTGGTTAATATCCTTATATGAAAACTTACCTCTTGCGTCACATAGTTATACGTGCTACTTGAATAATGGTAAGATATCAAGATATTCTCACTTCAGTGACACTCCCGCCACCTAACCCAAAGACCTACATGCAATCGCTTCTTAAAGGAGATCCTACTTATTAACCGGGGTCGAAGATCTCTAGCATCCTTCGGCACCTTGAAGAGCCAAAAACGGTTCATGAGGATATCGCAGTACGGCAGAGATATTGCCACGCCGACGCCAACTGAAAGAGACCATTCTGCTGCAGCAAAGATTCTGGATGAGGAGTTATACTGTCAAGTATCCAAGTCTTAAGGCCGCACGCCTGAAGCACAAACGTTCCACCACTGGCTCTTCGCGAGGAGTCCAAAGTCTTTCACAGGAGGTTCGAAGGATTTTCGAACCATTATCTCGATCGAGAGACGCGGCGAAGTACAAAATGTATGCACCGGTGCTTACGGATCGCTTCAACAAGCCTGGAAGGCTAAGAGAACTATGCGTTGGTTGTCTTCGAGGAGTCACCCGACTTCCGACTGCATCCTGCACAAGACCTGTTTGCACGTGCGAGGCATGGAGAGCAAATTCGATATGTCCTCACGTGATAGCCCTGGTGGGGGCGCTCGGCTACTATCGTC